GGACTGGATTCCTTCTAGGCACCAATCTGCATATTGGTAAGAAGGTTCTGAACCCATGGTAGGCTGTTAAATGGAGTTAGAAGGCAGATTTAAAAATCACCACCGCCAACACATTTTTGATGAGTTAGAAAATTTTCATCAAGAACACATCTGCATTTTTGAAGACACCTGTCTTTGGGATAAACTAAAACACCTTGAAATCGAAGACGTTAAGAAACCCAGAAACGGAGAGAATTAGTGCATTTGTGAGCACTGGTCTGGAACAGGTAGGTTGAGAGGCCAGATTGTCAAATGAGCAAAACCTCAATTACAGGGTAATCTAATGTATATCCAGGTACATCACCACAACTCAATAAACAGTTCTTTGGAATTAAGTTATTCCAATTTGCTTTCATTTTGATCGGTGTGTGGCCCTGAGAATTTGGTATTACCTACACTCAAGTGAGGTGGCATCTTCTGAAGCAATGATGCTTGCAACCCCAGGATAATACACGAGCCACAAGCCAGCCAGCCACGAACACACCTGCCTAGGGAAAGACAGAGACCCAGCCCGAGTCTCCACCTTCCACGGCTTGGCCCAGCACAAGCACCTGCCACACATGCCACCAGAGGGGCCTCCAGCTCCTGGCACCCTTGGGCGCTGAGGGGTCCCGTAACCTCCTAATCCCTGCATGGCCCGAGTTCTGAAGGAGCGACGCCAGGCGGACGGGGCCCATGTGGTCAGGCGGCTGAGCACAAGCAGGACCAGCTACTTTTCTTTTGGTCCAGAAACCTGACTCACCGATGGTAGATACAGAAGGGCACCCAGGGAGTCTAACGACCCAAATGTTCCCAAGTCCACACGTTGGCCCCTCTTTGATATTCCTCCCTCCCTCTCCGTATGCTCAGCACATGGGGGAAAGCACCAGTGCCCTCTTTGCAGAGGAGGCCTTAAAGGATCTCTCCAGGGCCACACACATCGCAATCAAATCCGCACCTGGGCCAGGCGTCCTGCCCCACCACCCACTCAGGGCCGTCACCACCTTCTACTTCCTTACGGGGGAAACCCCACCCACCTCAAGTCATTTATTTTATTTAACAAACACTTATATCTCAGTGGGCCAGGCACTCTTCTAAGAACTCTTACAGCCACTGTCCTACGTAATCCTCAGGACACACACCCCTGAGGGAGGTCATGCTATACCTCCACCCCCAGATAAACCAGCTGAAGCTGGGAGAGGTTGATGTTCAAGGTCACTGAGCTGGGATGAGAAGGGGCCAGGATTCAAACCCGGGCATCTCAGCTCCAGGGTCCTTTCCTGTCTCTGAACGGAGGAAACCTGGAAACAATGCTGCCCAGGGCTGGTCTTCTTCCTGGGACGCCCCAGTGTCCGTCAGCTCCCTGCCGCTCGGCCCACACGATCTGAGTGATGCGTAAACCAGGAACAGGAAATTCAATCTGGGGAGCAGCCCCATCCCCTGGGAGAGCGCTTGGCCTTTGAGAATAGGCTTCTTTCTCAGATTTTCTCCCTCCCCTGAAAGAAGGTAGATTTCTATTTTTTCCGTCTTTTTTGTTGTTTGTTTTTAACAAGTGCAAATACTTCAGTATTAAAGTATTTAAGCATTCTGGCTCAGCCACAAAAAGGGGCTCTAAGATGTGCATGAGTCATTCTTCATAAAGCACTTTCCCCCGAATGCTCTGGTTTGCTGCCTTCAGGTGGGTTCCTGGCCACACACTCCAGGGTGACAGGCTTCCTCTGGTTGCTGCTGCCTCTGGGTGTCCCCTGTCTTTCACGGCTTGGGTACCATTAGCTTTTTATGAGAGAGACACACAGAGAGAGAGAGAGAGAGAGAGAGAGAGAGAGAGAGAGAGAGAGTGTGTGTGTCTGTGTGTCTGTGTGTGTGTGTGTGTGTGTGTGTGTGTGTGTATGTGTGTCGGGAAGGGTTAAATCCATTTCTCCACAAATCTGTCAGTTAGTACCCCACTCCAGAAAGGTGGGGAGTAGTGGGAGGGTGATGCATGAGTTGAAAAGGCAAGTTAGCAACAGGTCGGGGGACCCCTGTCATGAACCCTGTCTGCTATCTGGACACTTTCGACACTGTTCATGACATCATGCTACCATGTGCTGACAAGGCCACAATCCTCAGGCGCTCCAGGTATTGCCAAAACAGCATGATCTAGCTCCTGGTCCAATCCTAGCTCTGCCCCTAAGACCTGTCTCTATTTCTCAACCCGGCTGTGACTGTTCTCACAGCCATAAAATGAACTAAAATAAAACCAAGGTGCAGAGCCAAACTCAGGACTACATGAGGTCTCGGATGTGAAGGGACTTCTACATTCAAGGGGTCCAGCTTCGAGCTTACCACCAATTGAATATAAAAAGGAAAAAAAACGCAAGCAGGAAGAAAAATGGGCACTAAAAAAAATGTGATATTCCATAAAGGATTTCAGTAAGGTATAAAAAAACGGGACCCGGTCACCAGGAGCACAAACCCACCATCGCCCACCCTGAAGGAGACCTCTGAAGGAGGCCATCCAGCGCGTCCCTTAAAATGGAGCAGCAAGGGCTGGGGTGGGGAGGGGACAGAGCAGTGTTAGCTCCTGGATTGTACTGACAAACCTGGTCAGGACACCACTCAGTCCAAGCTGAACTCTGGCCCAGGACACACAGCCAACAAAGGATAAACCACAGTCCTAGGACACACTGGCCACCCCTCCAAATAAAGGCCATGATGCTTCGCCATGGAAATCTCATCCTCTGTCCCAGAGCCCTCTGGATTTGGTTTCCCACACCTCCTTCTCGACACCTGGGGACATAAGACTAAATGAAGCATTTTCTGGTTCCACTTGTCTGCGGGTGAAAAGTTCAGAGCCCTACAGTAGCCCCCTAGTCCTTCACCCTATGCAATCACTACCAATGCTGTGCCAGGCATGGGCAAGGTGCTGGTGAGACCGGAGAAAACACTATCCATTCTCCGGGTGGGGAGGGTGGGCTTCCTTTCCAGTGTGGAGTCACCATAAAGGAGTGTGTGTCGTGAGCGTGCCAGAGGGCACAGCACAGGAGTTACATATTCACCATCTGGAAGACCTGCAAAGGCCACTTTATCACACAAATCAATCTTATGGCACCAAAAGGCCAAGATACGAGCCTAATGGGATCAAAATGATGGTTTCTTTTGTATATAATGGCCCTCGATGTAAACTATTATAAAGATGATTTTTTTCCTGTTAGTTGTTCTGTTCGTAAGTACCCAATGTGTTATCTTCAGCTTAAGTGCTCATAGAATTATAGTGATGAAATGCATTCCTGCTGAGGCCAATAACTCTATCACTTATCCACCATTCAACAAGTATTTTAAGGTTGAGCCTTACAAAATGACCGACTGTGCAGGTCAGAACCGTCAAACGCTGGCTGTCTCAGATGGTTCCGTGTGCTCAGCACTTGCGCCAGGCGCTCAGCTAAGCTCGGGGGACTGATTGTGAACCAGGAACCAAATGGAAGATGCCCCAAACCCCACAGAGCTTATATCCTAAAGGGGGGGACGGACGCTGCCAAGTAAACAAATAAAGAAAAATACGTAATTTGGAAACGTGATGAGTGAAAAAGAGACAAGGTGATATAATAGAATGTGACCACCAGAATGGGGGGGGGGGGTGGTCAGGGGAGGGTAGTTCTCTCAGAGAAGATGGCATGATGACAGTCAAGTTGAGATCTGATTAATGACAAATGGGCAGCCATGTGAATATCCATCTGGAGTCAGGACAGCACAGGAGAGAGAATCCCACACTCTCTAGGATTAGAGATCCTAGACTCATACTAGTCCAGACAAGGCGACCATGACATGCGGAAGCAAAGAGAGGTCAAGGTTTCACATCAACCGATCCTTTGACCAAGGGAACCAATTCACGATCCTCTGGAGGGTGGAGCGATGCTTCTACCTGCAAAACACTGGGTATCGTTCTACAGCTAGCATTAAGACAAACAGCTTATTTCATTCACTAAATTATGTTAGATTAAAATTTTAATCGGCGAACGTAACACTGGAAAATGAGAACATCCATACGCTGCTATTTTCCAGTGTAAGCTGTCAAACCATTTTTTTCTTCTTTTGTTTTTTTTTTTTTTTTTTTTTGCAAAAGCAATATTGCAACACAAAGAAAAATCCGTAAAGATTCTTTGGCCTACCAACTCTACCCCTAGGGAATTTATCCAAGGAAATAACCTGGTTTAGTAGAATAAAAATATTCTCTTCGGAAGAACTCAATTGAGGCGTTAATCGCTGCATGCACAAAGGAAAGATAAAAGAAAAACAAATATACCTGGAATTACCTAAATGATGACGGAGATTTTTAAAAATAGGATGATTCACTTGATGAAATAGCATACAACTGTTAAGCACTGTAACAAAGATTATACAGTCTTTCAAAACTGAATGGACTATCGAGCTCCTTGAGAGAAGCAGAAAAGGAACAATGTGCATATTTTAATGGAAAAACATGTCAGTGATACCTCAAGGTGAAAAAGAAAATTGAAAAAAAAATTGAATCAAAGCCAGTGGGGTGGGAGGTTATTTATTTCAAAAGTCCTTCTAAAATATTGTCATTATATAGAGTTTTCAATAAAAAGTCCCTCAGAAACAATTGTACTCTGATCACTGTAATAGAACGCCACCAAAGCACAAGGACATTGGCTCACTCTAACTTTAAATGCAGAATAAAGCCAAATTTGGAGATGTCGTCTGCGTTATATATCCCACAAGCTTTCATATACAGATCCTACCTGTAAGACTCAACTTTGAATGACAATGTAATACTGCATGATTTCACAATAACTTCCTCTGTTTTTTTTGATGTGTGTGGATGGGAAGAATTGGAAATTGTGTTTCAGTCTACGGAATGGGTGTAGGAACACCAGATGAGAAAGCGGGGGAGTCTTAACTCCTCCCACCATGCAAGGATGGGGCCAAGGGATCCCCGTGAAATCAACCACCCGGGAAGAGGCACGGGTGGTGGCACTCACCTTTCACAATCAGCTCAGCGTAGTTGGACACACCAGAGCCACCATCAGAGCGGATCACACAGCGGTACTTGCTCACACTCCGCTGGGTAGTGTCCGCCACACTGACTGTCGCCGAGAAGCGCCTGTGGTTGACCACGCGGGTGACCATGAGGGCCGTGTCCCTGCCATTCCATTGCTACAGGACAGAGGGAAGGGAAGGAGAAATCATATTATCACACACTCCTGAGTGACCCCAGCATGGAAGTCCCACCCATCCCCACACCCCTGGGGCCCATGACTTTCCATAATAAGGACTCTCCATTGCTGGTTTCTGCAAGTGATGTGATTCAAGAATAAACTTTGCTAGTGAGCTGATTCAAGAGGGTGGATGCCTGGCCACAGGAAGAGAGAGCACAGCCGCTTCTAAACACCTTGGCTCCTTTCTCATCTGCATTTGGGGTTGGCGCTTGGCCCCTTAACCTTCCTCCTGTTTTCCTTCATCTCTTAAGCAAAACCCACAGGGCTTCCCTAAATGCAGACTCAGGTAAGTTAGTGAAGACACAGCCCACAAAGTGATAATAAACAGCTGGTGTCCTGGTACACCACCCACAGGCTCTGAGTCTCCCCCACAGGGACCAATCTGTCCCTCCAGGTAGAGTGAGGATGGGGGCTTTTCAACACCTCTCCTCCTTGGCATATGCTTCTTCCTCTGCCTGGTGCCTCCTGTCTCCCTGGAGATACTCCCTCTCCCTTAAACACACAGGTTCAGCTCGTTAGCATCTCCAGTAAGTGCCCCTGACTGTCACAACACCTTCTGGAAGTTCCTCACTCTCTTATGTATGGTGCAGACTTCCCACACATTTTTTCCTACAAGTGTTTCCCACTGTAGACTGTGAGCTCCCCGAGGGCAGGATTTTGCTATTTTCATTTCTAGCACCGTGCCCTGAAGCCTCCTGACTTGCTAAACATTTCTAGAATCAACATTTCTAGCAAGGCATTTTTGTCTTTACCATCCTGAATCTTAGATGTGATACTCTGAGTCTGAATAAGGCCCTTTCTCACAGCAGCAAGTTACAGTAACTGATAGGAAAACAAACGCAAGCCAAAACCACTTGTGCAGGCACCTGCATTTCTCTGGGCTTCAGTTTCCTCATTTAAACAATGGATCTGATACTGGTGTTTGCTCTATGGAGTTACTGCGATGAATAAATGAGAAGGCATGTAAAACATTTAACACATGAAGGTATATCCTGGTGTTAGTGGAGCTCTCTAATTAACCATGAAATTAGCCAGCTGAAGTGGAGTAAACTGGATAACAGCCCCTCAAAGATGTCTACATCCTAATCCCCGGAATCTGTAAATATATCACCTTACATGGCAAAAGGGACTCTGAAGATGTGATTAAGGATTTTCAGATGGCGAGAGATCCTGAATTATCCAAGAGGATTTATATGCAGAAGAGGAAGAAGGCCGGATGGCCAGAGTCAGAGAAGGAGATGTGGTGACAGAAGCAGAGGTCAGAGTGACTTGACTGATGGCTTGAAGATGCGGGAAGGAACCATGAGCTAAGGAATGCAGGGTGGTCTCCAGAAGCTGGAAAGGTTAAGGGAAGAGATTCTCCCCTCTCCTCCTCCAGAGGAGCCCAGCCCAGTCGACACCTTGATTTTAGCCCAGTAAGACCCAGTTTCTGACTTCTGATCTCCACAACTGTAAAGTAATAAATCTGCATTGTTTTAAGCCGCTAAGTTTGCAGAACTTTTTACATCAGCAATAAGGAATTAACACAAACGGCCAAGGACTGATTAAGCGCAAAATATTAATTTTTCATGTTTAAATTTTATTTTGGTGTCTCCTCCAGTATTATTTAACTTTGCTTCTTAAAGATGTCAGATTCCAGCAGAACCAGAGAGGATTCAGTGCATCCCCTTGAACAATTTAGATTCTTCTGTTTAGCTCCCGAACCACCAGGCTTTCTCCCATGGAAGGATAGGAAATTGCAGGTTGTCTAATAAAATCTCTAGAAAATAGGCCTTTTGATAATCACACCTGTCATACTGGGCGCAGGCAACAGCAGGACAGGGTCGAGCAGGAGGGCCCAGAGCCACAATAGGAAACAGGGCTGTGATGGACCAGGGCAAGGAGAAATGGAGGTTAAGTTCAGAGAGATGAGCCCAGATGGAAGGGCAAGCAACTGCACAGTCACCCAGGAGCCCAGGAGCAGAGATCGGGAGGGATTCTAGAAGACCAGGAATGGTGAGAGGCTCAGATGCCAGAATGCTGTGGCAACACGGAGAAGGGATTTAAGCAGAGAGAATGAGTAAGAAGCACAGGTGCCAGCCACTGTCTCAGCCCCAGACAGAGGCAGGAGAGAAAATGCAAGGGAAGCAAGCAAGGGGAGGTTTCATGACGCAGGAAAAGACTCAGAAACCTAAGCCCATAGGCGATGAGCAGGTTCGAGTGGGCACAGGGAGGGGTGGTACAGGGGAGATGCCAGGAGCCTGAAGTGGACCACAACCCGGAGGCAAAGTGGGAGAGTAAAGCTTCCCAGCCATCATACCAGGTGCCATGCAAGTGCACAGGGATGCAGATGTTAGGGTGCTAGGAAAGAGGAGTAGGACAGTGAAGGGAAGTCAAAGTCCTGGGAAAAGCCAGAGAGGAGCATGACACAGCTGATGCACATAGAAGCCTGTGGAAAATTCTACCAAACCCTCAGGCCCACGTCACCCCTTTGGCTTGTTGGAAATTTTCTTTTGGCTCCTGTAATATTTTTCATCCATAAGTATATCCTTCCCCTGAAAGTTCCAGGCACACTTCCTTTCTTCTTGTGGCAAGTTTTTCAGAGCTATGTCTGTGGTTCTAAAATGAATCATCTTCTAGCCCCTCTGAGTCAATGAATCAATTGAGCAAGTTTCCCACTGGGCACTCAGAAGGGTGTCTTAGGGTGGGCTCCCCAGAAGGAAGCAGAGTCTGAGACCTGGTGATTTACTGAGTGCTCTCAGGAGAACGGGGATGAAGGAAAGGGTGAGGAAAGAAGCTGAGCAACAATGTGGTGGAAACTGGGGTCTGGCTTCAGCCTGACTCCACGGAGCTCCAGAGCATGAAGTGTACCAGAGCTAATCTCACCAGGAGGCAAGGGGCCAGCTTCTGCACTCCACGCCCATCAGTCACAGGTCATGGCCAGGTGGGGGAGGAAGAAACGGTTCCCCTTTGACCAAGGGCACAGTTCTCTGGGGAAGGAGGATTTGTGAGCCTTTAGCAGCCAACACGCACAGTACCCTGCAGTTTGGGGCACTGGCTCATAAAGGACACTTTAATCCATTCTACCCGGAACCTTCCTATCTCTAGCTCCTCCTCCAGTATATTATACATAGGGTCTCCTGAAAGCCCATGAGCCACTGCCCTGAGATTTGCTGGTTGTCTGCTCCTGAATCTATGTTAAAAAAAAAAGGGGGCAGGGGGCTGGGAACTGATCTCCATAGATCACTGACAACGTGGGAAGCTCAAGTACCCCTGCAATAACACACTGCTTCCTCTGAAAAGCCGATCTGTCCCCCAGCGAATAAAGTTCCATAACTGAGTTTGATAAATATTTTGTTCAAAGTAATGGGATTTGTCTGAGCATTTATTAAGTAAAAGTCACATTAACGAACATGTCCGAGTGCTCAGTCTGTGCTAGGCACTGTGTTACCTGGCTTACATGATAGAATCCACTTAATCCTTCTCAAATCCCTAGGAAAGTACTTCTCAAAGGGTGGGTCCCAGACCCAGCATCGACATCGCCTGGGAACCTGTGAGAAATGTTAATTTTAATGAGACTTCCAGGGCTGATATCCATTTATGGAGGCTGTTTACTGGGGTTGGTAGTCTGAGTTGTCTCTTCTCCTTTCCTTATTCTATTATTAATTGCACTGGAAATGTCCTCATTATTTAACAAAACAGAAAATGAGAGAGTGTGGAATGTGGAAGCTATAATTTCTTCCCAGAAGAATTTACAGGCTGGCGTTAAGATTCCAACAAAACAGCAAAAAGGGCAAAACATAAACACAAAGTCAAGTATTGAAATAGCATCCTTCAAGGAGGAAAACACGGTCAGCAGAGGACGAGCAATGCTTTTAGAATAATCTAAAGCAGTGGTTCTCAAAGTGTGGTCCCCAGATCTACTGCATTAGCACCCCCTGGGAACCTGTTAGAAATGCAAATTTTCTGGCCCCTCTCTGGACCTAATAAATCAGGAGCTGTTATAGGGGGAGCCAGGCCATTTTTGCTTTCACAGACCCTCCAGGTGATTCTCATGGGATGATAAGGCGTGAGATAGGTCCTAAGAATATTCCTGTTCTCCAGATAAGGAAACTGAGGCAGACAGGTCAAGCAACATGGTTTAGAATAGTACTTTTCAAATTAATGTGCATACAAACCACCTGGGGAATCTTGTTAAAAATGCAGACTCCGATTCCCTGAGTCTGTGGGGGGACCTGACATCCTTCATTTCCAGCCAGCTCCCAAGTCTTGTCGCTGATGCCAGTCCATGAATCATAGCAAGAGGAGCAAAACCTTAACATGACTTTGCTGAGGGATGGAGTTAGGATGTGGACCCAGGTGATGTGACTCCAGACACTGAGGCCTTAATCACATTGCCCAGCTGCCAGCCAGTGCACGACGGCGCACAGTTACCCTGTGACTCTGTGTGAGGCGGGTAGAGTGTGCAGTGTTCCAGAAACTCACTCTGCTTGTTCAAAGAACATCAAACGCCATCTTGCGGGAAATGACTGCTCCACAGAAAACAGTTTGGGAACTGACGTGATCGATGCCTAGCTTTCTAGAAACCTCAGCGGTCTCGAAGTCAGAAGTATCTTTGTAAGGAGGGGCAGAGCATCTTCCTGCATTCCTGGCTAGCAGACTTTCTGAATATATTATTAAGGGGTGTCATATCCAATGTGCTATTAGGCTTGGGTGAGGTTTTCTTACCCCAGCTCCATCCGTCTAAAGCAGCGGCTCTCAAACCTTAGCACGCATAACGATCACCTCCAGAGTGACTCAGTAGGTCAGGGGTGAGGCTAGATAATCTGCATTTCTGACAAGTTCCAGAGTGACACTGATGCTGCTGGCCTTGTCCTCTGTCTCCAAGATCTGAAGGCTAATGTCACCTTAAGTCCCTCACTGGAAAGAACAGGGCCAAATAATATCACGAAACACATG